GTGTGGGCTGCAGGGCTTTGGGAAAACATCGGGGAAACTCCACCTGGTACTTGTCCACTGAGGGCATCTCTGCTGGCCCTGTGCCAGAGTCTAGAGATGGTACTTTGTGTCATGAGTGCTACTGGGGTGCTGATGGCATCCAGGGAGAGCAGACCAGTGCTGCCCACTGTGCTGGAGCTGCCTCCGCTGGCATCTGCCCAGATATGTACGGCATGACCGAAAAATAAGGTGGATGGGTGTTTACACGTTAGAAACTTACTCCGGCAGAGACGCACTGCTGTGAATCCCCTCAGAGTCCTCCTTGCCGCTTCAGATACACTCTTCCCATCGCTCTCACCACTGCCTGCAGCAGCTTGGAGTCCTCTTTCCTGAGGGTCTGTAGTTGTGCTGTTGTGATTGCCTTGGGCCCTAAATTGACTCAAAGCATTTACTTTGGTCGTTTTGGCCTTGGGGCAGAGCCAGAAGTCGCAGGGCATCAGATCCAGTGAAGGAGGTGGGCGTGGCATAGTGTGTTTCTGGGCTGCCTCTCTGCGGATGGCACTCGGCGGCAGCGGCCACCGACTTTTTTGTGACTCCTGGAATAGACCCTCAGGAGAGAGGACTCCAGAGCTGCCACAGAAAGGGCCCAGAATGATGGGAGGAGCAATCTCACTGCGAAGGGGGGCTTTTGAGGCTGATAAATAGCAATGTGCCTCAGTAAGGAACTTTAATCATTTTCTGTATATTTTGATTACATCCTATAGATGAGGCTGAGGCCACAATTGTGCTGCCCAAGGAATGAGCCTTGGGGTTTGGTTGCCATGAAGGTGATTTCCCCTGGTGTGGGTGCCATTTAGTAACCGCCAGAGACACTGTGGCCTGTGACAGTCGCCTGGGGCACTCTGGAGAACAGAGTGAAGACAGCATTCCCTGAATGGCCTGGGCCCCATCAGGAAGGGCCTGAGAGCTCACAAAAAATAATAACTTCCAGGGCGGGGCCTCCACAGCTGTGATTTTAGAGGAAACAGCACACTGGTGTGGCCGACTCCAAAAGACACAGAAGGTCCCCACTCGTGGCAAACATAGGGCTGAGGGCGTGGCAGCCCCTCTGTTGAGCCGCTGCATGGTCCCCTGCTGCTCTCCTAGCACCTGCCAGCTGGGGGTGGATGCATCTGATGTCCCTTTGCTGTGGGTCTGAGCCACAGCCACAGTGAGTCCCAGCAGGGCCATGTGGCCTCTCGGGCCCTGCTCCCTTTGGCCCTCACCTGCTCCCCGCACACAGCCAGGGCTCTAAGCCTCCCCATGTCTCCCCAGCAAGTGTGAGAGCCAGCCCGCCCATGACTGGCTCCTCTGCGCCCGTCTGAGGCCCGGCCTGGAGGGCCTGGCTCCAAGCTGGACCTCCCCTCACTCAGTCCTCCCCTTGGAAAAGCACCTGAGGTACCACCAGGAGGCCAGCGCCCCTGTACCCTGACCCGGAAGGACTCCTTCGCCTGTCCAGCGGTAGGGCACTGGAACCCATCTTCCTCATCTGGAAAGTGGGCGTGACAGCGGCCAATCTAAGAGGCTGGTGGGAGGGTTCTGTGGAACAGGAGTTACCACTCCGTGTGCAGACATGCGCTGTTTGTTGCTCCCTTCTCCTCTGTCACCGAGATTGCTTTAGTCCAGGGCAGACTCGTCAGACAAAGCTGCCACAGCAAGGGCTATGGCTGTGGTCCAAGCACTCTGGAGGCTGAGGCAGAAGGATCACTGGGAGTCTGAAGCCAGCCAGGGCTACGTGGTGAGCTCAAGACCAGCCTGAGCTGTGCAACCAGACTCTGTCTGAAAGAGAACCAGCAAAATGTCCCATAGGCTTGCGAGGGTTTCCTAGGGGATGTTACTGCCAAGTTTGGGGGGAAATGAAATTTCAGTATCACTAGATTCAGCCCTTAGGGGAAAATGGGAAAGGGGAAAATATCAGAAGAACATAAAATTTGTCATGAATGTTGGTGATATTTAAATAAGATTTAAATTCATCCAGCTATTAACCAGAAAAGAGGGAGCTGGCATTAAATTCACATAAGTGCCGGATTATGCACAATGGAGTCAGAAATATTAACTCAGTCTCTCAGCTGGAACAGTGCAGCTGGCTGGGCATAGATTATGAAGGGGATGAAGAGTTGATAGATTATCCCTTCCAATGTCCGCACGGAAAGCAGTGGCTAATAACTTATCTCACTTGTACTGTTAGTCACCTTTAAACAAGACATAATGAGCAGTCTGCAACAGGTATTCCTATCCCTGTGCCACATGGAGGCAGCCCAGGGAGATACCAAGGCGGGGAGGGAAGGAGGAGAGAGTGGGGAGACCAAAGTGGTGCCTGAGTCTCCTGTGGCTGCTGTGGGCCAGGGTCACACCCTCTGCCCTGTGTCTGAGGGGCACTGCCAGGGCGCTCGGGATGCATGCAAAGCCTCGGGTTCCATGCACCTGGGAGTCCTTCCACATGAGGAAGCAGGAGGACCCAGGCTTCCGGCCTAACACCTTTGGGGCCACTCAGCAGGGTACAGCTGAGGCAGGGGCTCACCCTTGCTTATCTCTGCCCCATAGACCCAGCAAGAACGGCCCCTGGGGTCCTGCTGATGTGCAAGTTGGCAGTGAGGGTGGGACATTCACCCTACAGGGAGGAAGAGTCAGGAAGGTCTCAGCCCAAGGAAGCCCCACAGAGAGGCTCAGCAAGGAACTGTTAGCCACCAGCATGTGTGGCTTCTAAGCACTCGCTCCCCCAACCCTACAGCCCCAGTCCGCAGTTCTCTCAGCTTCTCCCACCTCGGGCCCCATGACATCGCCAAGCATCTTGGTTCAGTTCCAGATTCAGGGAAGGGAACCCAGAGCCCGGCTCAGGCTGGTGTCCGGTGTCCATCCCACCCGGTTCCTGGGGCTCCAGGGAGTCACTGAGAGCAAACCCTCCTGTGTGTGAGCGGCACTCAGTGCCCACTCCAGCCCACGTCTGCCACACAGGCCCAGCCATGCCCACTGGGGAGAGACTGGGCCACTGTAGCCACAGCTGAGCCCCAAGCGTCAGAGAAAGGTGTCTGTAGCCTCCTGGGCAGGGAATGTCTCACCTGGAAATGAGCCCAGCCAGAGGGTTGCAGCCCCACCCAACACATGGGCTGGCAGGGAGGAAGGACCAGAAATCACAGGCAGGAGACACAGCTCCGTACAGAGCCCAGCCTGTGCAAGGCAGCAGCAAGCCAGGGCTGAGGCCGGGGGCACCTGGGCTGGGCTGTTCCTTTTTAGTACTTGATCTACGCAGCAAACACACACAGTGTGTGTGTGTGTGTGTGTGTGTGTGTGTGTGTGTGTGTGTGTGTGCATGTGCGCGCACCTGGCCCAGGACCAGGGTCACAGCTCCAATCCCCAACATGGTCAGCCAGAGCTCGTCTTGAGGAGACCCCTACTGTCATCCAGACTGCTCCCCGCTCGGTGTCCACCTCGTCTTTTCCCATCTCGGGTCCCTACCTGGTCCATTACTGCAAGGAAGAAACAGGGAGTTTGGAGAAGGGAGACAGCAGACAGTGTGACACTCAGAAGCTCCCCAGGTCGCTGTGCCTGCCTTTCTTCCTCCCTCCCTTCTCTCTTTCTCACTCCCCGCTCCTTATTCTTCCCTCCCAGACGTCTCCCGGCTGTGCTGGCCCCAGAGTTAGAAATGAAGGACTGAAACAAAGCGTGTGGGATCAGGGGTGCAGCAGTGGGGCTGGGGGCTCGCGGCACTGGCACCTGTGCAGATGGCGGGTACCGAGGACACAGTCCTGCCTCACGAGTGGCTGTCCTGGGCCTGCCGTTTCCCCACAGGCTGTGCTGTGGTGCTCCTGATGGCACTTGCACAGCCCGCCCCTTCCTTCTGCTTCCCTTATGCTGCCCTCCCAGTGCCTAGGGTGTTTGCACCTGTGGAGGATGGGAGCCCAGAGCCTCTGGCAAGGTGGAGGCAGTGGTGTCTGGGCAGGAGGCCCTAATGTGTCTGGGCCCCACTCTGTGTCCATGAAATGCAGTCGCAGCTCCAGCTACTGACAGGGGACATGGGGCTTGTCATGTGTTCAGTAAGAGGGGCTCTCCTGTCTGCCCCTTTCCACTCAGCCACAGATCAGGGTAGGGTGGGGTGCAGTCTCAGTGAATCCCCACCCCCTGGCAGCTACGTAGACCATGTGTCCTCTCCAGCCCAGAGCTTGGCCTAGAGTCAGTGCAGGTGGGGGCAGGGCTGCCCTCTGGGACCCTGGGTCCGTGGCTCCCCAGATTCCTCCACCCTGAAGCTGACAGCACAGCCTCCTGTGAATGGCACAATCCCACTGCCCTCTCTGAGGACGGCTGGATCAGCACACACCAAATACTCTAGGACCATCTCCATCTCAGAATGCTTTGCCTAATCACTCCCAGCAGCCCCCATGAACATGACCTGGGTGCTCTGACAGGGGCCACACAAGGACACAGTGCTACTCTGCAGCTGGTCCCTCGGCATCACAGAGAGGGAAACCCGGTCACTCCTGATGGGCCCGCACGTCTCTCTGATGAGCCAGGCACCAAAGGGCAGACGCCTCGCAATCTCCCTGAGGTGGAGCCTAAATCATGGAAGCAGAGAGGGGAAGGTGTTGCCAGGGTGGGGCAGAAGCGTGGGGTGATGGTCAAAGACACAGGGTCCAGTTACGTCAGATGCATAAATCCCAGAGGCCTGCTGCACACCTCGGTGACTCCGGTTAATAGCGGCAGATTATGTGCTCGAAATTGGCCAGGAGAGTGGGTGAGGGTGAGGGGTGTGTGAACAAACTTGAATCTGGTGGTCATTCACCATGTGCATGAAGACATTATGTTGCACACTTTAAATATGTGAGATCTCATCTGCAGTTGCTTATGTGCCACTGCAGCTGGGTATAAAAGATCTTTGCCTCAGCCGGCTCTGTGATGTCTCAGACAGTATCTATTGTAGCGACATCTGCGGCTCTCAATGGGAATAACAGTGTCTCTCCCCTTCCCTGGGGTTCACTCCTTCACAGGTGTCCGACAGGTGTGACTATGTCTTTGTCAATGGGAAGGAAATGAAAGGCAAGGTGAATGTGGTGGTCACCTTCTCCTACCAGCACCTGGTCAGCCCCCTGGAGATGACTGTCTGGGCGCCCCGGCTCCCGCTGCAGATTGAGGTCTCGGACACAGAGCTCAACCAGATCAAGGGCTGGAGAGTCCCCATTGTCTCCAACAAAAGGTATGTCTGTACACAGGGGTACAGTCACAGGGGCAGGGTAGGTGCACTAGGACTCGGAGGGCCAGGACAGCCTCGCTCAGCCCAGCTGGGACAGAACCAAGGACCCAGGGGATGTCTTCAGCACGGGTGGTCCCTCCACCCCTCGGCTCTGGGGACTTTCCTCACCCACTCCCAAGCTTCCATCCTTTCTTCTCCACAGCTCCTGCCCAGTGTGTGCTCCCAATGGTACAGAGACCCCAAGTTAAGTCTTACTTGCTGGGCTGCGCCCACCCCTACCTAATACCATGGCCCTGCAGCCGCAGTGCCCTCAGGATCATCTAGACCTTGGCTCAGGGCCCAGCTGGAGCCAGAGGAGCGGTGGGGGGAGATTGCTTGCTGGGAGGAGCAAGGGACAGATGTTCCTTTGAGGACATGAAGATGAAGCATAGCCTGACATGAAGCCTGACAGCATAGCCTCTCCATGCTCCTGGTCCAGGGCCCTTACCTCTTGGCTCTGGTGAAATCAAATTTAAATCATCATCATCATCATCATCATCATCCTACTCCTCTCCTCCTCCTCCTCCTCCTCCTCCTTCTCCTCCTTGTCCTCTTCTTCCTTCTTCACAAGGCCACTCACTGAACTCACTGTACAGTTCAGGCTGGACTCAAACTTTCAGTGACCCTCCTGCTGCATGCACCACCAAGCCCAATAAAGTTGAGCTCAGTCTCAGATGAGGTCAGGGAGAGCTGAAGGTGGCCAGTCAGTTGCTAGCAAGGAAGTCACAGGAGCTCAGCCTCTCCACCACGATTGTCACCTCAGGGAAACCAGGTGTACAGGTCCGCGCCAGAAGGACAGTGCAAATGTGCAAAGCCGCACGAGCTGAGCAGACATAGAAAGAGGCCCACAAGCTGCAGACTTGGCCCAGGATGGGACCTGGACAGTGTCCCTTCTGTCCTGTGACTGCTGGAAGGGGTGGCCGGAGGAGAGGCTTGGGTCACTGGACAGAGCATCACGGCAGTGTCTCTGGAGCACAGTTTCCCATGTCCAGCAGCAAAGGCGAGGCTGGGTGTGAATCAGTGCTGCAGAGGGGAGGCTTCAGGGAGACAGGGAGACCGGATGGCCTCGGCCAGGTGTTGCCCTAGCTGCCTGTGCAGACACGCCACGAGCTCATCAGAGGTGGCAGTGCCAAGGCTGCTGCCCCCAGGCACAGATGCAGAGGGAGCAGCTGGCACTGTCACCTCTACAGTGACTTAGCTTCTCGGGCTCAGGCCCCACCTCCTGGGGGTGCTATTTCCCAGGCTCTGCCTCTGCCTGACCTTATCGTGCCAGTCACGAGTGCTGGGTGGCTCAGTGGCTTACCCTGGAAGTTAGAAATTGTCCGAAGCTGGGCATTGTGGTACACACCATAGTCCCAGCACTCTGGGAGGCTGAAGCAGGACTGCAAATTAGTCCAGCCTGGACAACATAGTGACTTAGTGAGATCCGGTCTCTAAATTACATAAAAAGGGCTAGGGATGTAGCTCAGTGAAAAAGTCCTAAATTTGTTCCCCAGTACCTCAGAAATTATCCAAAGATGTGGTACGGTGCAGGATGGTGGTGGTGAACCTACGGCACGTGGGTCGCGGTGCCCCACGATGCAGGACGTTCAGTTTTAACCGCAGTGTTCGCACTTTCTGCTGTTCATGTGAGTTTCGGGGTGCAGCTCAGGCACTCAGTCTCACATTGCCACACAGCTCCACGAGTGGCAAAGTGGGCACAGGCTGGCAGGTGCCATGGCAGGGGCTCGGCAGGTTGCTATCCACCTGTTTGCGGAGTGGTTGGCGGGGAGGAGCCACACTAGGTGTCCAGTTCCCAGCCACACAAGTGTCCCCAAGCACAGTGCAGGACACTCGCCTTACGAGGATGAGCTGGGGGACAGCCTGGGAGAGAACAAGGAGTTATAAGTTAGAACAAGCAACTCTGATACCAGTCTTCTGTTCGGTTTGGTTATGTTTTTTGAGACAGGGGTTTGCTATGTAGCCCAGGCTGGCCTCAAACTTGTAGCCATCCTCCTGCCTCAGCCTCCTAGTGCTGAGAATACAGGCCCACACCATGCAATGTCCCAGTCTAAAACCACAACCCGAAAGTGGCTGTCCAGTGACTGCCATTGATTGTCCACAGGGAGAAAGGCTCTAAGGATAGCCCACGCTGAGGAGGAGTGTCACCCAACGTGGACGCAGGGAGGAAGATGGGGACCCTGCTGCCACCTCCATCCGCTGGGTGGACAGGCCTCGGGCTGTGCGGCCGGACACCCTGGGCCTCGTCTGAGTCTGAACCGCGAGCTGCCGGGAGGTGTCATGGCCACCCCTCCGCCGGGGGGTTCCGCGTTCCTCTCGTCCCTCTGACCTGACTCCTCCACAGGCCGGCTCGGGACAGCGAGGAGGAGGACGACGAGGAGAGGCGGGGCCGCGGCTGCGCGCTGCAGTTCCAGCGCGCCTGTGCGGCCGGACACCCTGGGCCTCGTCTGAGTCTGAACCGCGAGCTGCCGGGAGGTGTCATGGCCACCCCTCCGCCGGGGGGTTCCGCGTTCCTCTCGTCCCTCTGACCTGACTCCTCCACAGGCCGGCTCGGGACAGCGAGGAGGAGGACGACGAGGAGAGGCGGGGCCGCGGCTGCGCGCTGCAGTTCCAGCGCGCCCTGGGGCGGGTCCTCACACAGTTTGTGGCCGAGGCGGCCGGGCCTGGGGGACAGCTGGCCCACCTGCTGGGCGCGGACTGGCAAGTGGACATCACAGAGCTGATCGGTGACTTCATGCAGGTGGAGGAGCCCAGGATTGCCAAGCTGCAGAGGGGACAAATCCTGACCGGGCAGGAGCTGGGCATGACCACCATCCAGGTAAGATGCGCACTGCCGCGGCCTGGCAGCCATGGAGCTGGCCACAGAGCCAGGTCCCTGCAGGTGTGACACCTGGCCTGCCCCCTCCCCGAGCCCCAGCTCTCAGCACCCTGGGAAATGAGCTCTGCATGTGCACTGTCCCCCTGACCTTCCCGCCCCGGCTTCTGTCCATGACACGGCCACCGCCTCACTGAAGGTGTTCTGGCTCGGGTGGACTGGGGGCAGCGCTGGCACTGTGAAGCAGCACCTTCCAGAGTGCAGTGCTGGGGGTGGGCTTGCCCTATTCTCCCATCCCAGTCCCCTTGGAGACAAAGGGCCATGGAGCCCTATCAGGGCTGGAGGAGGGTCCGACCAGGTGGCCGTGGGCTTCTGAACAGCTGTGCAGGACGGACCCTTCAGCTGGCCCTAGGTCTGATTGTGGGACGTCTGCAGCACGTCCCCCTGGGGAGTGGGCTGGCGTCCAGAGAGGGCTGCATTCACGGCGCAGGACATGGCCATCCCGGAGTCCGCAGGGACCAGTTCCCCCAGACACAGGCTCTGCGGGCGCTCGGCCTCCCGGCTGCACATGGCATTTCCATACGACCCTCCGTGTTTAAGGGCCTGGCTCTGCATCTTGAAGTGGACCTGTCGCTAGAGGAGGAACTGTACAGAGTGCAAACACCGCAGTGCTCAGAACAGAGGGACGGGCGGGGGAGACTCCAGCTGGATGACTTTGCTTCTGTCTGCATAACTCTTACACACCACACTGTAAGGTGTGACAGAACATAAAACCACACTACAGGGCAGTACAGTCAGGAGAACTGTGGTACAGCCCAAAATTCAGCCCCAAATTTCACAGGGGTTACGTTCTGAGAGCACCCACGAATTGTGAAAAGCCACAGATGTCAGGAAAATACCCATCAATACCTATTTGCATAGTTTAAACCTTTAACATACTATGTCTTCTGAGTTATGTAATTTAATATTGAATTAATAATGGCTCAGAAGGTGCAGGGCATTTGGCAGCATCTTCGCGATCTTAGAGCTTTACGACAGCAGCACGCAGTATAGCACCTCTTATGATCCGGGGTGCTGGGGCATCTGGGCGATGGGTAAGAGGGCAGCAGCCAATCAGTGGCATAGAGAACTAAATAACGCTCTCGGATTGGCTGCTGGCAAACCTCCCGCCAAAACAACAACTGCAGAAGATATTTGTGGTTTCCTCAGAGTTTCCGAAAACAATTATTGGGTTCTAAGGAAGTGTCCAGGGAGATGGATGGGGTAAAGCGGCCAGGGCCTCACAGAAGCACCTAGTGTGCCCGCACGTGCCCACTCCCCCAGGAGGCTGAAGCTCTCTTTCTATATAACATCTGGGTTTTTAACATTCAGACCATCGAATACGTTTGAAAACACTGCTTCCTTTGAGTTGGGACTCTGATCCCAGCGCTGAGCTTGTGCCCGGATATGCAGCAGGACAGCCTCCCTCGGGGGTGTGAGGTGTGCCAGGAGAAAGGAGGCAGGGATTTTAGCACCGGGGCAGGGGGTGCGAAGTGGGGTTCCTGACATAGCTGGGGTCACAGCTCCGTGCCTGCCAGAGGGCAGAAAGTGAGAGCCCAGCTCGGGAAAGGGGCAGATGAGATGGAGCATACACCAAGGAGGCTGCCTGTGAGAGAGAAACCGATGGACCCGCAGCGAGTGTCTCAAACCCACGTTTGGGGGATGTGGAGGCTTTTTCGTAACAAGTGATTTGAATAAAATGACTGATTGTGGGCATGCAAGGTACACAGAGTACACAAAGAAGGGTGCACAGCAAAAGAGACAGGAAGCCCGTTGCCGAGAGGGCAGGCAGAGCACGGGAGGAGCCCGAGGGGAGACCAGGGCCACGGCACTGCCTGTCCCGCCCTGAAAGCTGGCCGGAGAGGGCTGGGGACACAGGAGGCCTCTCTTGCCCTGTCGGTTCTGCCCTGCAGATCCTGTCCCCACTGTCAGATGCCATCCTGGCTGAGAAGACCATCACTGTGCTGGAAGAGAAGGTGACCATCACAGACCTGGGGGTCCAGCTGGTGACGGGACTGTCCCTCTCCCTACAGCTCAGTCCCGGGAGCAACAGGGCCATCTTTGCCACTGCGGTGGCCCAGGAGCTGCTGCAGAGGCCCAGACAGGTGAGGGCCAGGCCAGTCAGGCAGAGGCATGGGAGCTGGGAGGGTCTCACGGAGCGGCCAGGCCTGTCGCCTCCTGGCTGCAGTCTTGTGGGATGGTGCTGACTCCACAGTGCTTCAGGCCCACAGGGTGGGGAGAGCAGCGCTCCCGCCTGTCTGCCCTACAGCACATCCACATGGGCAGGGCTTCTGTCCACACAGTCCGGGTGGACACATTGGACCTTCCTTGGTTGTGGGAGGAGCCGGGTGGAGGCCTGGGGACCAGAAGGGGACAGAGGACGTTCACACACCGGTCACTGCTGTGCCCACAGGGTACCATAGCCTGGCCTGACGTCCATCATGATTTTGTGTCTTTGAAACAAGTGTGTGCTCTGTGTGTGTGTGTCTGTGTCACGTACCTTTGTGTTTGTGTGTAGCATGTTTCTTGTGCATCTGTGTGCATGGCTCCAGGCACGTGTGTGTCTTGTGTCCGTTCTGTGTTCCATGACAGTTGTTTGTGATGTGTGTGGCTGGGTGTATGTGCTCAGAGTGCACTGTGCTGCATGTACACGTTTGGTACGTGCAGTGTGGGTGTTGGTCACTGAGTGACTGAGAGGAGGCTCTGAGGGGAGAGCTCCACGCCCTCCTGCTGTGGACAGATGGGCGGTGCAGCTCCCCAGGGCACCCCAGGGTCCCTCGAGAGCCTTCCTCCCCCACCGTGCCCTTCCCAGCCCTTCTCATGAGGGAAGATCACCACCAGGGGGCGGTACTGAAGGAGTCACTGTGCGTCCTGTGTGGACAGTGACAGCTGAAGACCGCAGGGAGGACACGGCCGGCCGCACAGCTGCCAGCCTGGCACATGGCAGCTTAGTCTGACACCTGTCCTGTGGGCAGCTGGCTGTGCCCTGGCAACACGGGCCACTGCAGGGATCACAGGGCTGAGCAGGGGAGCCGGAAAAGCTGGCCGTGTCTGGGCTCTTCCAGGGATTCTGAGCAGCAGCTGATCCCAGCTGTGATGGACAGCAGAAGTATTTATTGGAGAAGAGGCCACCAGCCACACTTCAGGAGCCTGTCTCATTCTCTCAAAGGCTGGGAATAGCATGGAATCTGCTTCTGTCATGGTTAGGGGCCCTTGGGTTGGAAGAAAGAGAAAGTACAGGTGGGTGTGATGGTGCACACCTGTAACCTCAGAACTTGAGAGGCTGAAGCAGGAGGATCATGAGTCTGAGGCTGGCCTGGTCTACATAATGAGTCCAAGGCTAGCCTGAACTGCATAGGGAGACCCTATGTCACAAAACACTAAAACCAAACCAAAACAAAACAGAGAGGGGAGAGAGCATGAGCTTACACAGCAAGGATGCCCTGGGAGCTGGGATGGAGGAGTCGCAGACCCAGTGTAGGACCTGGCAGTCTCTACCCTGCCCAGTCCTGCCCACCCTGTGATTCGAGCTGGTCTTGTTTTCTCTCTTTCTGTGCACAAAGGCCATCCCCAAACATTTGCCTATACAAATATGGCTGACCCAAAAACGTTGTGAGCTTAATTTAAAATCTATCACAGTGAGACACACTGTGCTGAATCCCCCTCTCAGTCCTCCCCTCACTTGGACCACACTCACCCCATCATCCTGGCCACTTTCTGCAGCAGCTCTGGAATCCTCTTTTGGAAGTGTCTTTACCAAGTGTGAAGGAAAATCCAGTGACTGCTGCTGCCAAGCGCCATCTAGTGGAGAGGCAGCTTGTAAAGACAGTAGAGCTATCTCATCCACCTCATTCATCAGCTCTGCCACTGTAGGACTTCTGGCTCCTCCCCAAAACCAAAATGACTATGAAAGGTAAATTTTTGCATCGATTTAGGACGTCAAGATAGCCAGGACAATGAAACTAAAGAGACTCATGAAAGGACTCCAGAGCTGCTGCAGGAAGTGGTGAGGACTATGGGGTGGGTGTGTTCAAAGTGAGGAGGATTATTTTGAGGGGGATTCAGGGCAATTGTCCTTTACTATACATTTCTTCACATTTAAACATCGTAGTTTTCCATTGCACTGCATACTTGATCCATAGCCTGCGCCCCGCCCCCTCAACAGGCCCCAGCTCTCCCACCCTAAGGTCTTCCTGTGTCACCTTCCAAACCGGAAGAGAGGGAGCAGCAAGGATGGGCTCAGTTGTACTTGCTTCGGCAGCACATATACTAAAAGAGAGGATGGGCTCAGTGCCTCAGACGGAGGCTCTGGCGGCAGCCGCGTCTTGTACCCACTTGCTCTGGGGACAGGGTCACCTACCCCCAGGCTCTTGTCGTCCTGGGCATGGCAGGCAGCTCTGCAAGGGTGTTGTAGGAGACTGGAAGCAGCTGCCCATCACCATCTCGGGCACTGAGTCCCAGCTGTCTCCACCGCTGGGCTGTTCCTCAGGAAGTGTGTTAACAGAATGCCGGGAGTTGGAGGTGGGGTGCAGTGCACAGAGCCTGACTCGGCCACCAGGGGCCCCAGCTCCTCGCACGGTGGGCAGAGGCCACCCCCAGGTGCATCCAGACCTATTCCTGCCAGTTGGGCCAGGCCTGCAGCTCTTGTCTGGCTTAGGCCCCCTCCATGTTGTGAGAGGTGAGCGGAGTATTGGTGTTGGTACAGTGTAAACGGCGCTGTGAACATTTTCCACGTGACTGCGTAAGCCTCGCCAGCCTCCCCTGCGTGGTGACAGCCCATGCGGGTGCAGCAGGTCCTAGGCAGCCCTCGCTCTTCCCTTCACACCTGTGGTAGAGAGTGCCTTGGCGGAGGCCTTCCGGGTCCCTCGTGGCAGGCCAGTGTCGCTGTTCCCGGGCTCTGTCTGCTTGCCCACCCAGGACCTCCCACCTCCGTTCTGGCTGCTGAGAGATTCCCCTGCCGAGCTCACTGCCTTCTTCTCCCCATAGGAAGCAGCCATCAGCTGCTGGGTGCAGTTCAGCGATGGCTCTGTCACTCCCCTGGACATCTATGATGGGCAGGACTTCGCACTGGTGGCCACGTCCTTGGATGAGAAAGTGGTCTCTGTCCAGCAGGACCCACGGCTCCAGTGGCCAGTCCTCGCAGCCGAGACAGAGGGACAGGGCACGCTGGTGAAGGTGGAGATGGCCATCAGTGAGCCATGCCAGAAGTCCAAGCGCAAGAGCGTGCTGGCCGTGGGAACAGCCTCCGTCAGGGTCAAATTTGGCCAAAGTGACGCCAACCCCAACAACAGTGACATCCAGCGCACAGGGGAGGCCAGTCACCTGGAAAACAGCATGGGTGATGGGTCCACAAAGCTCCTGCCAGAATGGGGGTCCCCGGACAGTCGGCTCCAGAGCAGCTCTTCCTCTGTGGGCCTCAGGGAGGGCCGGGGCGGCTCCACACCAAGGCCGAGCTTCCCCAGGGGCCGGGGTCAGGGCCATGCGCAGGAGGACAGCAGCCCCCCGCACACTGTGGACCTCGCCGACCTCACCAGGGGTGATACGGACATGGAGGGCGGCAGCCTGGCCCAGGCACCCAAGGGCCTGAGTGACCTGGAGATCGGCATGTACGCGCTGCTGGGCGTCTTCTGCCTGGCCATCCTCGTCTTCCTCATCAACTGCGCCACCTTCGCCCTGAAGTTCAGGCGCAAGCAGGTGACGCTCGAGGGCCAGGAGGGCCTGAGCCGCGCACATGACTGGGTGGGGCTGAGCAACCGGACAGAGCTGCTGGATGCCCAGGCAGCCTTGAGCTCCTGCCCTGAGGAGCAGATCACGGCCATCGGCCGGGGCGAGGACCCAGAAGAGAGCAAGTACCTCCTGCTCGGCACAGGCGCCCCCGGCCCCAGTGGGCAGCTGCTCCCCCCCACGGAAGTTGCACCTGCAGACAGCGAGGGGCAGCGTGCTGAGCTGCCCACATCCCCTACCTCGAAAAGGAAAAGAGTGACCTTCACGACCTTCACCGCCATGGCACCAGGTACCATGTTCCAGCCAGCAGCGCCATCGTGCTGAGCCAGGAGGCTGACATCCAGTGGGCCTGCCAGGGCCGGGTGGCTGTGCGAGGAGGCGTAGGCCGGCACCTGCCATTCCCATTCACCTTTCAGCCTTTAACCCCGCACGTGTGGCCGCACCCCCAGAAGACGAGGCTTGCGCCAGCACCAAGGCCCCGTGTGGACGTGCACAGCAAGGTTGTTGAAATGCAGAACCAAATGAGCCTGTGTTGTGGCCTGGGGGAGAGTGGTCCCTCTCCGCCTTTGTAGAATCCACACACACAGCCCCCCTGTGTTCAGCTGAGTGTGCCCGCTAGGTGGTAGGAAGTGTGTCCCTGGGATTGGGAGCATGCCTGGGCACAGCTAGCTCCAGGAGACGGCGATTTCCCCAAGACAGGGCCAAACTGCCCAGGAGCAGACGCAGGACAGAGGGAACAAGTGGGCAGATGGCCACAGCCATGTGTATAGCCACACACCAAGGTCACACACTCACCCACACTCACGCGTGCACACACTCGCGGTTCTTCTGAGTGCCCGGGTGGCCTCTTCATAACTGAGGTCCCCAGCGGGCTGTGTGGTCTCATCAGGGTCAATGATCTGAGCTCTTCCGCACCTCAGCACCTCACCCTTCCAGAAGCTGTGGGCCCGGGTGGCCAGGGAGGGTGGCGTCCAGCATGCAGCCAGCCTCCTATCCAGGCTCCAGCCTGGCTCCAGTGACATCCCCCAGAAAGGAGCCAGGGGTCTTGGGGCTGAGCTGTGTCCGGATCCAACACAGGCCGTGAGCACTATCCAGCGCAGCTGCTCCTCTGCAAGGAAGAGGGCTGTCTGGTGATGGGTCTGTCCCTGTCCACTGCTCAGAGGTGGGGCAGGGCGCACAGGGCCTGTCCGGAAGTGGCCCGGATGGGGCTGTGCCCTGCAGGGTGGGAGGCCTGGTGCCCAGGGAGGCGGAGCAGAGCAGGCCCCACTGGTGGTCAGGGTGACCTGGGGCCCAGACCCTTCAGGGATGACCAGCCGGGCTGGGCTGGACAATCCTAGGCCCCTGCACAGGCCCAGCAGGACGGCAGAGTTGGCCTCTCGCTGGCCCTGGTGACTGGTGACTACCTTCTCCTCACCCGCTGCTCTTCCTGGCTCTGCCCACTTCCTTCTGCTTCCGCTCCACCCTGTCATTTTCTCTCTGTCCCATCTCCTCCTCCTGCTCCTATCATCCTCCCCTCTTCTCCTCTTCCTTCCTCCTCCTCCTCTCTCACTCCTTCTCTCTCCCTCCTGCTCACTGACCCCGTCCCCTAAGGACCACCGCAAGTCCCCGGCTCCCCCAGCTGTGGTGCTACAGGTGCTGAGACTTCGCCTGGGCCTCCTCACCCTCATGACTGCCCTCCTCTCTGTCTCCTCCTCTCCTTTGTCCAAGCGACATTCTTACCATTGACCACTGCCTGCTCAGGTCCGGGGGCAGAGACGTCCTGTGGACGGAAGTGTGATGTGTATTTATAAAGCGCCCACTGTACATGGATAAATGTGCGCTCCATGGCTGTGCTGTCTGGTGTCTCTGCTCCCAGCCCTCCCCACACTTGGCCTGGGCAATGGAGACGCAGCTCTCAGGTCCTGGCACAGCCCAGCCGTACCCTGACAGTGCATAGTGCGCTCTGCGCATCAAGGGAGGGGACACACGGGGATACAGTGCAAGGCGTGCTGAGCCCTCTTCTCCAGGGAGGGCCTGCAAGAGTTCCACATGCAAGAGTCCCACATCCCTCCTGAAAGACTGCTGAGGGGAGGAGAGCCGGGTGGGCAGCAGGGGTACTGTGCCTCCCCTGGGGTCCTTCAACCCAGGAAGCCCTGAGATGAAGCCATACAGGGCAGAGCTGGTGACGCCCAGCCACAGAGACACAGGGGCCCAGCCAGAAGTGACGATGGCAGGCACCTGTTCACTGCCTGGAGCAGCTGGGGCAGACCTGGCCCACACAGGCCTTACTCACTGTTGGGGGACAGCAACCAGCAGAGCCACTTTCTGGCAGCCCCCAGGTTCACAGATGACCACAGGGCAGGCTGCAGTGCAGTTAAAGACCAACATTCAAACATAAGTCCTCTGCACGAGACTCCCAGATCTTCCCAGGCATATGCATTTGGGGGGCAGCCCAACCCCGGGCGTGTTACAGGGGTCCCTCCCGCCATCCTCCCAGTCAGAAGGCCCTTTCCAGTTGTCCCCATGACCCTGCTGTTCACACAACAGGGGAATATTTCTCCTGTCTCCCCCCATGAGGACAACAAATCAGCAGGATGGGCGATCCTGTGACAGAGCCAGGAGCTTGCTGTCCGTGACGGAAGTGAGTCCTGCAGACACAGTAGCACTGTTTAAAGGGCACAGCCCAAGATGCCAGAAGGTGGCCTATGTGCAGAGCTCAAGGCGGCAGTGACATGAAGCCACAAGGGGCTGTGTTCCCACAGGGTCTCTGAGCATGAGCAGACATCTCTGTGCTTCCCTGGCTCCTGGCCTGTGAGCTCCTTTGCCCCCCTGTGGGCTCCGGGGTCCCCAGGGCCCACCTCAGTGCCCCAGTGAGGTTGCATCTGCTCACTGCCTCTCAGCCTGCAGGGACTTCACTGTGGCAGGACTGCAGACTGGGTGGTGTGAACAATGCACACTTGGTATTTCGCAGATTGTGGGCAAAATCTGAGATTGAGGCATTGGCGGAGATCCATTCTGGCCCCTCCCAGCCCGTGGTGTGCTCCTCCTGCTCCCTTGCCTTGTGCAGGTGTCACCCTGTGTCTGCCTGTCTCCACCTGGCATTCTCTCCCTGAGGGGTTGGGGACCAGGGCATTTTCCTGTGGACTTCTAGGACACAGCCCGGAATGCTGGCCTCTGTCTGAAAGTCCCAAAGCCCGCCGCACCCCGCATCACACCCACTTTGCAAAAGAGGAACAAAGCCCCATGTTTGTATCAGCTCCCCGAGCGGCCACACCAGCACCGCACATCCAGTGGTTGAGGGCAGCAGCTCTGGAGGCTGAGTCGTACCCCAGCATGGCAAGTTGGTCCCTTCTGAGGCTGGGAGGACGATGGGCACCCGCACCTCTCCCGGCCCCGGGGCTGTTGGCCGTGCTAGGGCTGGGTAACTTGTGGATGGTCACTACTTCTGCTGCATCGTCTCCTGGCCCCTGGGTGGCTCTTTGTCCACACTCTTCATTCTCTCTTAAGGGGCCCTGAGTGAGGGCCCCTCTACTACAAGACATCATCTCACCCTGGTTACCTCTGCAATGACCCTGCCTCCACATAAAGACAAATTCACAGGTACTCAGCATCAGGATGCCAACATTTTCTTCAGTAAAACACAGTTCTAACCATCTCAAAGAGCAGTACTTGGCAAGGAAGAAACCCTGTCTTGCTATTAATCTTTTCACTGCAGGTGACCTAAAAAAATAAGCGTCTCGGTCCAGTCTGTTTTCTTTATATACTGTGACAGAGCCATGCTTACGGGAGGCAGCAAATGACAAACCTTGTTTTGAGTGAATGAGTGGGGGTGGAGGTTTGTTTGGATGGACAGATGGATGGATGAATGGACAGACAGACAAATACCAATTTACAGAACATGGGTGACGTAGGCTCAGTCTTATACATTAAGGTGACCGTCTAATGGGAGCCAGGAGGTGGCTACTGCCAGAGGTTGATCGTAACAATTCTCACAGCTCTGCACTAGGGACTGGATGCTGGACTTTTGCTGAGTCCTGTAGGGAAACAATAGTCCAGATCACTTCTTTCCCTCAGAGACACAGGGAAGGTCTCCTCTCCTCCATAACCCTCGATGGTTTCTCATGAGGCCTCACCTCTGTGGACAAGGCCGGGTGTGACCAAGCCATCCTGTCCTTCTAGCTGAAGTCCCTAGTCAGAGTCCTGCCCACTGTCTCCTGCCCGGCCAGTACCTCCCACAGATACGGTTTACCCAGATGCTTCCTGCCCTGGAAGAGGGGGGAGCCCCGCTTCCTCCATAGACCTTGGGCCATAGGGTGTGCTGGGCACCAGAGACAGCACCCTTAGCACATTTTCTAGCTTGGCCTGTAGCTCGGTGGGGGCTCTGAACTGGTTCTGGGCCATAACAGAGCCCAGTGGTGACAGTGTCACTTCCGAGGAACACAGGTGAGTGCCCGTGTGAGCTGTGCATGTGTGACACGTGGTGGCATGAGGGGCCTGGATCCCTGTGTTGCCCCGGGAGGCAGCAGCCCTGGAGGGGACAAGGCTCGGCCCTCCACCAGCCGCTCCTTGTGTGCCTGGCCTTTGTGGTAATCACAGGCGCTGTGCTTTCCCAGGGGCTGTTTCCCAGGAGCAGGGCTACCTGGGGGGCGGGGCAGGGTCCTACCAGACTGCGTCGTGTTCCACATTGGTCTGTATCACCTGTGCCCAACGTGTGCCTGGCCAGCAGGAGCTAAGAAAGGCCATGCCCCAAGAAAGAGTGGGTCCCAAGGCCTAACTGTGGTTCCTAGTCTCTGCGTCAAGGCCCTGTTTCCTGTGCCTTGGCGGCAGAGATGCCTCGGCTGCTGCGTCTGGGGGAGCTGCCCGTTGACCCAGAGACCTTGGGTGCAAGTGCGAGGTCTGAGGGGCTGGGTGGACGCTCCCCGTCCCCGCCCTGGCCCTGTGTGCAGAGGGTCTCTGCCTGGGCACACTTGGGAAACAGCGGAGCCCACATCATCTATGGTCTGCCTGACACTTTGCCTGTGGCCCTGGCCAGTCACTGCTACTGGTTAGGATGCCCTGTCCTCCTCTGTGCCCAGAGAGCTGTCTTCCTGACCTCCACGGCAGACCCCAGCTGAGCCCCAAGGTTGAGTGTGTGCCCCCTTCAGCCTGCCAGGGCCTGGGTGGGCCAGGGAAGCCTTGTCACTTCACAGGCCCAGCACCCCATTCAGGGTGCTGAGGACCTTACAGGTCCCTGGGGACAGCTGCCACCCAGAAGCCTCCACCTGGTGTGGGTGCAGAAGGTGCTCCTGAGACTAGTGAAGGGCATCATCCTGCGCTGGGCCCAAGGACCCCAGAACTCCCACCAGGTGTCTCCTCCTGGCTTTCAGCCTGGCCTGCCCAGCCCCCACCCACCTTCGCCTCAGCTGTGGGGACACGGGCTCTCCTTAGTCCCTAGCCTCGGGCCAGAAGAGAGAGCCATGCCAAGGGACATAGGTTTGTCCCTCCCCATGGTCAGACAGAGGACCTGGACGAATGCCCTCCACTCCTCCCGTCCCAGTCATCATGGACAAGGAAACCTGACCCCACACCATCTGACTAAGCCAAAGAGCACCCTGAGCCCTTGCTCTTTCCGGTTCCCCTGCAGGAGCCGCCCTGCACCCTGGGCGGCCTTGCTGGACCCTTCTGCGGGTGCAGCTCCTGCCTGGCCCCTCAGGCCTGGCACCCTCTCTGCTCTGGGCCACACTCACCTCCGCAAGTCTCCCAGGCCAAGGCCGTCACCTTGCATTTACGGCAGGACACAGAGTCGCTGAGCCTGCAGGGCCCCTGGGGCGCTGAGCAGACACCCTAAGTGAGGAGCTGCCTGTGAAACCATTTTCTCCACAGATAAATAAACAAAATCTGAATCCTACCCGTTTGTAAAAGCCCCAGGGATATACAAAGCTCACTGTTGCTCCTTCAGGTGTTTGAAAGCAAATGTGGCTTAAAAATAACAAGGCTGAAGTCCTCTGAGTCCAGGGCCCAGAGCAGCCCCTCAGATGGTGTTTCAGGCAGTAGAGAAGCAGCTTTCTCTCCACAGAGGCAGAGCAGAGACTGAACCCATCAGGGAGGGTGAGTGGGGCAGGGTGGCACCCCTGACGAGGCCCTCGGGAGAGCGGCCATCCTGCACACTGGTGAAGTGTCTGCTAAACTAGCCATGAGCAGTTACTGCCTCCCTCACTTTACTGGGTTGGAGATCTGGGGGTGACTTAGCTGGGTGGCCTGGCAGGCGGTGGGCAGGCTGCAGTCGCCCCACGGCTTGACTGAGGCGGGAGCTGAGCTCCCTCACACTCCTGGAAAGCGAGCATTCAGGGGCAGCAGGGTCCCTGCAGGAGTCCTCCCAACATGGTGGCCAGCTTCCCCAGCATGAGACAAGATGAAAGAGGAAGCCACAGAACCTTCCAGGACCTTACTCTGGACTCTGGAAGTCACACTCCATGATCTCCAGCACCTTCTACTGGCTGCACAGATTGGTCAGTCCCATTTGAGGGGAGGCACACTAAGCCCCACATGTGAGGAGGTGGAGAACCACTGGGCGCCATCTTGATGGTGACCCCATAGCCTTCCCAGTAGGCCCTCTCCCAGTGGCCACCAAAATGGCTTTCACCAGGTGACAAGCTGGTGCCAAGCAGATGACTCAGGAAAGGAATAGTCTTTCCATGTCTTCCCACAAATCCAGAACTCAAGTTCTGTTGAACAGATTTGGATGGCACTGGCCCACTGACTGTATTCGCAGGATCAAGGATATCAGGGTTGCTCAGGCATTGCCTGTGTGCCCATTTCCACAGCCCTGAGGCTGAATGGCACCCTTCAGATCACAGGGTGGCAGCTGGAGGAGGGTGCTGAACCCGCAGACTTTCTTATTCCATAAGAAAGAGAAGCACAGCTCTGACAGCACCAGGCCCAGCCCCAGGCCTCTCACAGGGGGAAGACATGGCTGTGGGTATGGAGAGGGTGGCCTGGGGTGGGGCTCAGGTCTGCAGTGCCAGCCCTGCTGGCGACTGAGCTTCCAAAGTTTGAGGCCTTGTCACAAAATAAATAAGTAAATAAAAAGGAGGTGAGGATGTAGTTCAGTGTGGAGGCCCTGGGTTCGAGCCCCAGTACCACCAGAGGAGGAGGAGGGGAAAGGCCAGCTGCCTGCTGCTGGCTCTGCTTCTGGCACTTGATCAAAGGGATTATGGTTATGATTCAGAGGCTCAGTGAGTTGTGGGGACCCCGTTGCCACCTCTCAAAAGTAGGCTGGGTGTCACAACACCCTGGACTGCTCTGTTTCTTCCCACCCTTTGAGATGCTTCAAAGCATTTGAAGGCTTTGGAAACAACTTCCAATCTCTCTGCTGCCCTTCAAATGACAGAGACCAAAACACTGAGCACCCCAAGGTTCCCATTTGTTGATCCAGGCCTGACAGGCAAGTGGCCCGAGCTATGCATGTTGGAGTGCAGCCCTTGGCGAGGAGGTCCCAGGGGCACCAGGTTACTGGGAAGTCTGGTCCGATCTACAGGCTCCAAATTTCAGAAGACTTCTCAAAGTCACAGGGCTAGCAAGTCACAATCACTGGCTAGGGCCAAGCCAGCATCCAGCACTCCTTCCTGCAGCACCCCAGATTCCTTGGGGATCACCACACCCTACTTCTGACCAGGCAGATACTCATGGGCACCGATTCCCAGGAAGTGACCCCACTACAGAAAAGCTCACAATGCCTTCGTGCATTGGGAGCCACAGCTTGGACCACCCTTCAGTGCCCCATCTTGGGCTCCAAAGTCTGCTATCCTGGGTCCCCCACCCTCATTCTGAGAGGTCCCTGTGGCTTCTGGTAAAGTCCACCTCTATCCCCTGCTTATAATCAACATCTCCTCTGGCTCACCTGGCCTTCCTCAAATGTGCCTGGCCAGGAAAGCACAGGCCTGCTCTCCTGGGGTGACAGTCAGGCCCCTGCAGTCAGGGAACTTGACACCTGAGCTTGTGAAGAGGGCCCTCAGACAGTGTCAGCCGCTCCTCGGAACCAGCTGAAGAGGAGGCCTGGGCTGTGGGCCAGGAGAGCTCTGCTCACAGCCTGGGATGGGTTCCTTCCTCCTGGCATCCTCCTGGGTGACGTCCTCTCCCAGTCCACACCCTCGCAGCCTCGCGCTGTTAGCCTGGGAGGTGGCATTCTCTGGCAGGGCTGCCCCCTGCCTGGGAGGATGTTCAGCACTGCCCACCTCCACCCCAGCTACCGGCAGGTCTCCTCCCCTGGTGAAGGAAGGGGCCACGTGGAGCTCCTTGTCCAGCCCTCAGGGTGACGGGGAGAGGCCAGCAGAGCAGCGAGGGCCTGGCCTGGGCTGTGCACAGCGCTCTAACTCCCACTGCACCATGGGGATGCGTCCCCTTCTGGCATCATGTTCCCGGCTGTGGCTCAGGGTACCTCTGACAAAAAGGAGCCTCGTGGAGGAGGTTTGGGAAATGCAGAGCAAACTCTACCACAGCCCTGATGCACCATGCTGAAAGTTTGTCTGGGTCTCCCGGGGTCACAATTCAGGTCACCCCTGGAGGACACATTTAAGACACCACCACACAAAGGTGACACACCCATGTGCATGGCACGCTCATGTGGCAGACAGACATGTGCACCCCAGACAGACATCCCACCTCTGTGGGGACGTGTTCCAGACCCAGGGGACCCTGGGAAATGTCCCGTGTCCTCACCTCAGATATCACCTGTCAGTGTGGAGTTGGTGGCAGGCAGAAGTCTGTGGGCTCGGGGTCCACAGGTGCCAGGACCAGTGTTGGTGGCCACATTGCCCCTGAGGCACAGCAGCAGCATCTAAGGGCTAGACGCGGCCTGAGGTTCTAACCCACACTCTGCACCTCCTGGCCCCAAGGCCCCACTGGTCTCACCTCCCACCCCTGCCAGGCACTGGGGACACACGGAGAAACTGCATGCAGCTCAGGGAGGGGCAGAGACAGCACAGCCACTGCCCATACCCAACACGGGCATCGCTGCTGTTAACGCTGCCAGGCTGCTCTTGGAGGCCAAGGGAGGTGTTGCCTTGGTGACAGTGTCACCAGTGGGCCCTCAGATCCACTCAGGTGTTGGACAGGGAGCTGCAGGAAACACAGGCTACCAGTCCTGCCCTGACGTTCTGCATGGACACAGCTGGGCAGAGCCCAGGGGTTCGGCACTGGGACAGAGCCAGGTTGGGAAGTGGCTGCATTATCTTCCACTTCCCCTCCTGCCTGTCCCTGGTCTTCTCAGCACCCCC